GTAGCAGGTGCCGGGCTGGTTGTAGGGGAGGCTGCGGGCGGGCACCTGGCACAGCACCTGGTAGGCCTCGGTGGGCTCCATGTGCACCGTCACGTTCTCCAGGGTCTGGTCGTTGAGCGTGTTGGTGCAGTCGAACTGGACGGGGCCGGGGAGGAGGCTGAGACAACCCCGTCCCTCCGCGCCAGATCCACCGACCCGCCGGCCTCCCCGCTGGGCCTCCGCCCCCCGCCCGGGCTCACCTGGAACACCATGTGCTCGGGGAAGGTGTGCTTGGTGCAGCGGATGACATACTCGGTCTCGGACTCCGTGAGGGCCACGGGCTCCGGCGAGGACTTGAAGAGGGGGCCCAGGCCCCGGAACTCGGGAACGGCCGCCAGCTGCTCTGAAAGGCAGAGGCCGGGGCCGCTCAGCCTCCTCAGCCTCCCCGCCTCCCGGGAGGACCACTGGCCGGGGACTCATGAGGCAAGAGAGGCTCGCTCTGTCTCCGGGGCTGGATGGAGTGAGCGCCGTGGCGTCGGCCTCGCTCACAGCGGCCTCCGACTCCTGGCCTCCAGCGATGATCCTCCTGCCTCGGCCTCCCTCCCTCCCGAGTAGCTGGGGCGACAGGCATGCGCCACCACGCCCGGCTCCTTTTTTCTATTTATATTTTTCGCTGTCCAGCTCATTTTTTTGTACTTTTTTTTTAGTAGAGACGGGGTCTCGCTCTTGCTCAGGCTGGCCTCGACCTCCTGGCCTCCAGCGAGCGATCCTCCTGCCTCGGCCTCCCTCCCACCCGAGTAGCTGGGACGACAGGCATGCGCCACCACGCCCGGCTCGTTTTTTTAAAATATATTTTTAGTCGTCCAGCTCATTTTTTTCTATTTCTTTTTTTTTTCTTTTCCAGTAGAGACGGGGTCTCACTCTTGCTCCGGCAGGTCTTGACCTCCTGACCTTGAGCAATCCTCCTGCCTCAGCCTCCCTCCCGAGTAGCCAAAACTACAGGCATGCGCCACCACGCCAGGCTCATTTTTTTTTTTTATACTTTTTTAGCTGTCTGGATAATTTCTTTCTATTTTTTTTTTTTTTTTGTGGTATAGAGATGGGGTCTCATCTTGTCTGAAGCTGGCCTCAAACTCTGGCCTCAAGCGATCCTCCCACCTAGCCGTTCCTCCCGAGTATTCTGGCACTACAGGCATGGCGGCCCCCACGCCCGGCTCATTTTTAATAGTATTGTTTTAGTTCGGCAAAGCTCATTTTTCTCTTTTTTTTTTCTAGGAGACGGCGGGCTCGTTCTTGCTCAGGCTGGTCCTCACTCCTGACCTCGACGGGATCTCTCCGCTCGGCCTGCTTAGGAGTGCTGGGATGCAAGGAGTGAGCACTGCACCCTGGCCTTTCATGGTGTTTTTTAGGAAAGAGTCTCAGCTCTGTGCGGCCGTAGAGTGTCGTGGCGTCAGCCTCTCACTGCAGCGACCTCCAACCTGCCGGGTCCAGCGATCCTCCCGCTCGGCTCGCCTCGCGAGTAGCTGGGGACTACAGGCACGCGCCAGCCACGCGGTCCGTTGTTTTTTTTCTTTCTTAATCTTTTTTAGCGTGTCTGGATTAATTTCTCTTTTTTTAGTAGCAATGGGCCACTTTGTCAAGTGGCCTCGAACTCTGACCTCGCAGCATGCCTCCTGCCTTGGCCTCCTCCCGAGTAGCTTGGACTAGCAGGCGTCGCGCCTCCACGCGCCGGCGCTCGTTGTTTTTTTCTGGTACTCATGTGTTGAGTTGATCCCTAGTGGTTCGTTTTCGGTTTCTACTGGTGATGTTTATTGTGTGTTTTGTTGGTAGTTTGGGGTTGGTTTTTTTTTGTGGTTGTGTTGTGGTGGTGTGGTGTGGTTTGATTCTTGGGTGTTGTTGGTTTTTGTTTTTGGGGTTAGGCTGTGTGGTTGGTGGTGGTTGGTGGGGGGAGGTTGGGGGTGTGGTGGGGTGGGGGGGGGGTTTTGGTTTTTTTTTTTTAGGGTAGATGGGTGGACTTAGGGCTTCGGTTCGGTGGTCTCGCTCTTGCCTCCAGGCTGGCCTCGAGGCCTCCCCTTGAGCGACATCGCCCCCTCCGGCCGCCGACAGGAGGGGTGGCCGGTCCCCCCCCGGCACTCACCTGGAAGATCTCCTGCCGGGTGGCCGCCACCTCTCTCGGGCTGTTTGACGCCGGCTTATGCGGCGTTTTCGCGGGGCGGACAAGACAGGGTCTGGTGGGTGGGGTTTTTTAGTTGTTTTGTTAACAGTTTGCTCGCCTTTTGGAGTGGTGGGGGTAGAGTGCCTTGGTTTTGAGAGTTCGGTTGGTTATGGTTGGTGGTTGTTTTTTGTTTTTTTTTGGGTTGTGTGTGGTGGGTAGTTTGGTGGTGTGGTGTGTGTGTGTTTGTGGTGGGTTGGTTTGTGGTGTTGTAGTGTGGTTTGTGGGGGGTCACTGTGGGGGTATGGGCTTTGGGGTTTTGGATGGGGGTGGCCCTGTCTCGCGCTCTCGTCGCGCCGCGCTCGCGCCCGGGCACTGGGTGGCTCACTTCAGCGGGGAGCCATGGGGCAGAGCGCCGAGGGGTTGTGTTTTTACGCTCTTCGGGGGGGGGGGGTGTTCCGCGTGGGGTGAGAGGTAGCGGGGGGTGTGTATCACCCCTCGGGGCCGGACTCCCGCATCTCGGCCGGTGGCCTGGACTGGCGTCCGGGCCTCCTTTTCCGTCACCGGCCTCTTACTGAGAGGCCCGAGGGGGGGGGCAGGGGAGCTGGCGGCTGGTGGCCGGCGTTGGCAGCTGGTCGTGTTTGGGAGTGGGGCTCTGTGGTATGGGTGTGGGGAGGTTGGTTGTGTGGGTGGGTGGGGGGCGGTTTGTGGAGGGTGGGCCGGATTTTAGGGCACAGACTTGAGGCTCGAAGGGTTGTCGGGAAGGGTATCTGCAGGAAGGGTGTATCTGCGGGCGGCCGCGCCAGGGGCTGCCGCTGGATAGTGACACTCGTCGTATGGATTCGGCCTGGGAGGGAGGGCCGGGGGAGGGGGTTGTTGAGGGTGGTTGGTTGGGAGGTTTGAGTTGTTATTAGGTGGTGACAGATAGAGGCTGTGTTGTTGGTTGTGGGTTGTGTTCC